GTGCTGCTTTACACGAGTGTACAAAGCGGAAAACCTCTAGAGAGATTAGAATATATATATATATATATATATATATATATATATATATATATATATATATATATATATATATATATATATATATATATATATATATATATATATATACGAATTGATACATGGCCCAAAAGCCACTCATGGTAGAGGGTTATTGAATGAGATCGTTGGGCACCTCGGCGTGGTGTAATTGTTAGCAAGCTTATCTCGTTAGGTCAGTTACGACTGAAAGTGAGTTCGATCCTCACTAGTTTCCCCACACATTCGGCCTTGTGCCACATCTAAGCTACGCTTAGAAAATTATTAGGGCACTTCAAGGTGGTTTAATGGTTAGCAAGCTTGTCCCGCTAAAACAATTACGACTGAGTAGTGAGTTCGATCCTCACTGGGTGCCCCATACTTTAGGCCTAGTGCCACATCTAAGCTACGCTTGGAAAATTACTGTGGGCACCTCGGTGTGGTGTATGGTTAGCAAGCTTGTCTTGCTAGATCAGTTACGACTGGAAAGTGAGTTCGATCCTAAGTAGATGCCCCATATTTTCGGCCTTGTGCCACATCTAAGTTACGCTTAGAAAATCAATATCGGGCACCTCGGCGTGATGTAATGGTTGGCAAGTTTCTCTCGATAGAACATGTTACGACTGAGTAGTGAGTTCGATCCTCACTGAGTGCCCCATACTTTCGGCCTTGTGCCACATCTAAGCTACGCTTAGAAAATCACTATTGAATGAGATGGTTGTGTAAACGTAAGAGTAGGAAACATGATTATGAGAATGTGTGGGGATGATAATGGCAGACCATAAACTAGAAGAGTTTAAGATTGTAGTGATAGGTGCGGGGGGCATTTTCACGGTTCTTCAGAAGAAGCTGTCAAAATGGAATTTCTTTCATACTTATAAAATCCGAACAGAATGGCAGTATTTTTTTTTCAGTTTCTGTAGCATGGAAGCTCTAAAGAGTGAAGGTTTTAACTTGGGTACTAATGAACGTAGCTCGTCGGAACACTTTCCATTGAAATAGACCTAAACTAGCGAGAGTCTTACGAAGTTTCGTCTGTGGGAAACGGGTTAGAGAATAATAAATAATTCATCGACCTGGAGAATATATATACAGAATCCGCCCCAAATACAATTCAGCAAAGGAAAATCTTGCCTTTCGTTGTTCTATTAAATTTCGATAACACTGTTTCATGTCGTACGATATTTTCCTGATTGAACACATCAAACTTCTACCTATGGGGACCGTAAAGAATGCTGTTTATAGCAACACTTACACAAGACATTTAACCTGCAGCAAAACCATTGGACATTTTGACCAACGTTGCCGAAGCAGTAGTTTGCCGTACTATTAAATGTCTAGAAGCTAAAAGGCATCATTTTGAGCATCTCTTTGAATTGTAAAGTTCAAAGGTACCCTGTTTTAATCTCGTGATGTTTGAATAAAATTCGTATTACAATGTGTATACAAGTTTTCCTTTCCTGGAGTATATATACATTTTTTGGTGAATACTGTATATATATATATATATATATATATATATATATATACAGGGTGAGATGGGTAAATTGTCGGCATTTTATCTTTTTAATTTCGCGCATGCGCATTGTTTGTTATTTGTTTTGTCGACTGAACAGTATAGTAGAGTCAGTTGGGCACCGTCTGTGAGAAAAAGAGTACCAAGAAGCAATTCATTCCGCCAGAAATTTGGAAACGGCATGCTGTATTGCTTGGTATTCGCGCTGGAAGTTCCAATACAAACATTTCAGTCTTTTTGGATGTCAAACTGAGGACAGGGCAGAGGATTCGGAAAGAGTTGGATGAGGCTAATTGTGATTACGAAGGTACGGCAGCTCGGAAAGCTCACTCTGAACGTTCTGATAAGAAAAGAACTCATAAATTTTTTGGCGAGGGCCCCTGACTCAATACGGAGACATACATCAAGTGATTTGAGGAGGCAGTGCTGCTCTGGGTCAAGAGGGTGACTGCTGGAAGATCCTATGTCTGACAATAGGACTCATCAGGACATACCCAGTCGCGGCTGTCAGACAGTTTCTGCGGCAACATCACCTCTTACATCTGGCCACCTAGCTCTCCAAACTGCAACCATTTTGATTATCATGTGTCTGACGCAGTTTAGCGAGAAACCAACAAAACTTCTTGTATCACCAAAGATGAACTGAAAGCAAGGATTCTGGCAGCATTCACCAAATTAAACAAGGAGACCTTTCCAAAAATGTGAAGGTGATTCCGAAGTCGTCTGGACACCGTGGCGATTTTATTGAATAAATTTCCTGTTTAGTAAGTCAAGATATTTTTGTGTCATTTTGGTAAATATATATCTGTTAAAATGAGATATCAGTGTTATTTTCACTTTTGCGTAATTTAGACGACAACTTATTCATTGCACTCTGTATAATGCACAGAAATTAGAATCTTATTTTCTAAGACTCTAATCATTACATCAACACCTCCGCCATATCTATTCGGTCAGGCACCAGATTCTATTTTTCAGTTTGGCCATCTGCCTAGAAGAAGGACATTCCAACAGAAAACTTAACATTTTATATTTTCTTTTTCTTTGCTTTTATTTTTCTTAATTTTTCCTTCTTTTTTTTTTTTAATTACGCAATCGTTAAGAAGGAGCCAGAATGAAAAGATCGAAAAATTAATATTTCTATTCCAACTTGAAATAAATTTTTGAAAGTGGTTGTATTTTGTTTAAGAAAGGTTTTTCTTAATGAATATATAGTTTAATTAAGATTTGTTGATTCTCTGGAAGAAAAGAGACAATTTTTAAATATTATCTTACCATTGATTAGGAAAGGAATATTCGATGAGTGCCGATATATAAATAAAGTGAAGAAACAAATAAACAAAAAGAAATGTTACAGTAATAACCAATGGTTTTCAACGTATCATTACTCATTCTCATTCAAACATACAAACATAAACACATACAATCCCAAACATACACCCAACCTCATCATATATATATATATATATATATATATATATATATGCATAATTAAAAATGTTCTCTCATCAGGATTATTTGAGGGGTGTCGAACACACCTGCCTCCGCTGATGTTCTTTATACGCAGATGTTAGTTTGATCTTAGTTGATCTTATTAGCGAGAAAAGAAAGAAAGAATGAAAGTGAATAGCCTTGTTCATTTCATGTTAATACCCATGGAAAATGTATGATTCAATTTTCTTCCAGATCTGGGTTATATAGCAGGGCTTACTGGTCTCTATTGCAACTTGTCTAGAAGGGTAACTCTGAATTCAAATCTAAGGAGGGATATTTAGAGACTCCAAAGTATAAAAAGCACTATTTCTTTGTTATCAGTTCTTTCGTAAATGTAACTGGTTTTACACAACCCTTCACTACTATAATCAAATTATCTGAGTTGTCTAGTGGTTAAGTTCTTAATTGAAATATGAGGACATTATAGGATATATATATATATATATATATATATATATATATATATATATATATATATATATGTATGTATTATGAAATGTACTAAGTAAGTCCGACAATTATTTTAAGATATTTTCAGTTTATACGTTATTTTTATAGGTACAAATATTTAAGTAGATGCTCTGTTTATAATAAACAGTATTAAAAACAATTACCGGCTTGAATGTCCGAGAAATTTCATAGAAAATATGTGAGAGGAATCGAACCTGCATCATATACGGAATCATCATACAGCCTAACGAACTATACCATTTAGCTACATAGGAAGCGTCTGGTTAGCAAGGTCAAATTACTGCTTAATCAGATTCTTCCTCTGTAGCTAAATGATATAGCACGTCAGGACATATGACGGTTCCGTGTAGGATACAGGTTCGATTCCTGTCGGAGGACATATTTTCTATGAAATTTCTCGGACATTCAAGTCGGAAAATATCTTTAAGACTGTTTATTATAAACAGAATATTTAAATATTTTATCTATAAAAATAACGTATAAACAATAAAATATATATATATATATATATATATATATATATATATATATATATATATATATATATAAAAAAATATAGTTTTATGGTATGCTATATTTATGAGTTAAAGCCCTCAATCAGGGATAGATAAGTATAAAAGTGGACATTCATGTCAATACCCAGTGGACACAGTTTGTTTCATGGTTAAACACAATCATCAGGCCTGACAATTTCTTTAATGTATAAAACAGACTGCAGTCGCAGGGTGTCGACTTCAATTTACAGTTACTCACACACACACATATATATATATCATATATATATATATATATATATATATATATATATATATATATATATATATATATATATATATATATATATATATATATATATATATATATATATATATATATATATATATATATATATATATATATATATATATATATATATATATATAGAGAAAGAAGAGAGAGAGAGAGAGAGAGAGAGAAAGAGGGGAAATCGCGCTCTATATATATATATATCTAGGAGCGTTTTCTTCTAGACTCGATGAATTACTTAAATATATATAGAAATCCTATTATAATTTTGCCTGTTCCACCCTTTGTTAGTTAGCACAAGCGTTACGTCCTGCCAATACTATATAAATAATGGACTTTTCCGGATGTTGATCTGTTCTTATCAGCTTAAGCTAATAAGAACAGGTACTACACTTTGATTTCGGACAAAGACCAAGAAGTAATGGCAACCGCGATAAATATGCCATTTTTCACACGCGCAATATCGACCAACGGAAACCGAGTAAGCCAATTGACAAAAAATGAAGTTAACATAAATTAAATAAAATAACATCGTCTGCTGAAATATTTTAAAATTATTACTAAAAGAAATTTTTGTAAGACGTGTATTTGGCTAGAAATAAATAAATAAAGGAAACTAAAATTGTTTGATGCCTCCTGCCAATACCTTATAAATAATGGACTATTCCGTTCTGATCGCTTAGAAAGAAAAGAAAAGAAAAGAAAAGAAAAGAAAAGAAGAAAGAAAGAAAGAAAGAAAGAAAGAAAGAAAGAAAAAAAGGGCTATAAAAGTGTTTAACGACTGTTTCAGTGAAATTTAAAATATTTTAATTTCTACCCTCTTATTGAAATAACGTCAACCATTCATATTTATTATTGCTATTGCAATATTTTGTTAAAGTTCTTAAGCTCAAATGTTTAACGATGCGATAGGGGAATTTTAGTGACTTAGAACTCACCATGATCTTATTTCATCATTAATTGAATAGTTAAGGATTAATTAAGATTAATCAGAAAATTTAAATATGAAAGCCGTGAAATTTTCAGAGATTTTTAGTTGTTGTTCTTGTTATTATTATTATTAAATTATATATAAAAACGTTCAATACCAATTTTCAAATTTTGTGATCGGTACAATCATCTTTGTCGAGAATCCCGATGAGTGATTGAAAAATTACAAGTCAACTTTCGATAAATATGATATGCACACACACACACACACACACACACATACACACACAAACGCGCACACACATATATTTGTGTGTTTGTGTATGTATGTATGTGTCTTTATGTGCATGCGTGCGCATAAGCCTGCTGAATAATGCGTCACCGCAATCCGAAGGCCCATTGGGATAGCGAAAAATATTAAGAAATATTAAGTATTAAGAAACAGAAAAATTTCTTTGGAAAGAAAGAAAAGAGTACTGAACTGATAGGTAATATCAATCTTCCTATATCTACTAACAGATGAAGAAAAGTCTTGAAGCAACAAAATAAGGATGCTGAGAATACCACGGGCCGGATATGTGAGTTTTAGAGAAAATGAAAACAAAAAGGACACTTATACTAAACATCAGAATGAAACAAATGAAATTTCTAGGATACATAACGAGGAAAGGGGATTGGAAAATTTGATGCTCACAGGACAGATTAAAGGCAAGGGGGACAAAGGAAGACAACGCATAACCTACTTAGTGAGCTTAAGCAAATGAATGGCGGAACAGGGTTTACGAGATATAAAAAAAAAAGAGAGAAAAATTATTAAGAACTATGAAACACAAAAAATTGTGGAGAGCCATGATCACCAACATCATGATGGAATACGGCACATGGAAGAAGATAGAAGAAGAAGCAGAGATTTTCCTTTTTCTTTGTGGGTTGGCCTTTATTTTGGGGATGTTTGCTGGTGGTTAGATTAAGCTACCACTTGCTCGAGGAGATCAGTTTATAGATCGAAGTTAACAACAGAGAAATAAGAAAGATAAAATGAAAATGACAATTGAAAAAGGATTCTGTGTGTATTCATGGGTGTTTGTAAGTGTTTGAAGTATGTGTGTGTGTATATGCGGGTGTTTTTCTCCACTTACCCCCTCTTTTTATCTACTTTGCCTAAATATTTGCTTGTTTTCTCTTCTTTGCTTGATTGACGTATTTGCATGTGCATTATGAAACACGTGATGTCCCTGCCCTTCTACGCTTTTGTCTTTACACATCTATCCCGACCCACAATAAAATTGTCCTAAAAATTGACAGGGGAAGGGCATTTCAAAGTCGTGTTGCTTGGGGCGTCGCGCTGATGCGCAAAGGACGCCCGTATTTTGATTAACACACAATATAAAAGAAAGAGAAAACCCTTTTAATATGAAAGTAACGTTAGATATAAAATGACACTTTGGACCTCCAGCCCCAGAAGAGTGTATGGATAAACTGGGTAAGTAGAAAGAAATAAAAAAGGAAGAGATTTGAAGTGAAATGAAATAATGAATAAGAAAGGCGAGGAGGAAGAAAACCACAGAGGAAGTTGTGATGATGACGAAGAAAAAGAAATCAGAAAAAAAGAAGAAATGCCGATGAAGATGAGTTAAGGACTTAAATTCGAAAAATGAACAAAAAGCCGAAGAAGAATATCGTTCGAGAGACGGAGAAGGATTTTCCAGAAGAAAAATAGGAGAAGAAAAGGAGATGAATAGGAAAAATCAAGGAAGAAGAAAAGACGAAAAAGAAGAAAATATAAAGATGAAGAAAAAAAAATGAAGTAGAAGAAATGTCGAATAAGTAAACAATAAAAAAAAAGAAGTTAAAATTCGGTGATGTTGAAAACAAAATGACTGTGATGAAGAAAACAGAGTACGTTAGAAAAGGCCACGAAGAAACGAGAAAGAAGTAAAAACGACGAAGAAGAAAGACAAGTTAGAAAAAAATGAAAAAAAGCAAAGAACAAAACATGATAATTAAAAGAAACGACAAAGAAAAAAGTGAAGAAATAATAACGAATTAAAAAAACATAATAAACCTGAAATGATTAAAAATAACTTAGAAAATGAAAGAAGTTAAAAAAAACGACAGCTAAAAAAAATATAAATAAAACTAATTTATGAAATATTTAAAAAAAAAAAAACTAACAAAGAGAAAATCGTCGTCTTGTAGATCAAGTCGAATAAGACTGTCCATAGATTCAATTTCTATTAACGAAAATATTTGCCTTAAGTCGATTAGTATCAGGCGGCTTTAAAAATTAATCAGCGGTTCCGTCAACTGTACATCAGCTCTCCGGTATTTTGAGGTGAAAAATACAATGTTCATTAGTGTTCTAAAATTCTGGCACGATTGTTTTGCGATAGCAACAAGAGAAATTTAAAAACAGGTAAAAGCGGATCATCTACTAATTTTTGGATAGTTTTTCCTCTTCTAATTTTTACTTTTTATCATAGACGCTGTAATTGGGTATTTCAGCTCGTTAAAGAAGTTCGAAGTAAAAAAAAAATTATTATTTTCCGGTGAGATTTAAAACTAATCTTTCATAGACGATTCCTTAACAATCCGTCTACAGGAGTTTAGGAACTAACAAAGTATAAATTTAATGTTTACACCACTAATTCCACACACACCTTGTCTTCATGTAATACAGTTTAATTTTACTTTCAGGTAATGTTTTTGCATTATCGGTACCACGCCGAAAATAATCTTGCGACGTAATCAAATGCAAATTCCTTTCTTCACCTCTCCCGACCATGTGCTTATTTGCTACGGCATTCTTCTTGTTTTTCAATATATTTCACAATATTATTATTTATTGATTCGTTTTCTACGGCTTATCAGCATTTGCAGGCTATTTAAAGCCAGAACATATTTTTAGATTGTAAGATGTGGGAAGGTGGATAATAATGGTTTAGTGACACAAGTATTACTAATTAACCCATAGCTGGGGAAAGAAGCGGATTCCTACCTTTTCCAGTGGTATTTGCGCGTAAGTGAATATGATGAACTCAACAGGAGCTATAACTCCTCTCTCCGGTTAACAATTCCGAGACCTTACTCATTATAAAACCTGTCAGTACCTTGTATTTATTCCTAAGTGGTCACTCAACAAGATACTGACCATGCTTGAAGTTGCTTAACTTCGGTGATCGTACAGGAATCGACGTTTCAACTTTATGTAGCCGTAAGTCTGCACTATTATCCGAATGAACACGGTTATTAAACGATATATACATTTTTATTATGAAATGGACAAAGTCCGACATTTATTTTAAGAGATTTTTTTTATGTTTATACGTTCTTTTTATAGATAAAAATATTTAAGTAAATGCTCTGTTTATAATAAACAGTATTAACGACAATTACCGGCCTGAATGTCCGAGAAATTTTCATAGAAAATATGCGTCCTCCGACAGGAATCGAACCCGTATCCTATATGGAACCGTCATATAGCCTGACGTGCTTTACCGATTGTTTCACAGAGGAGCTTTTCGGTTAGCAAGGTCGATTTCACTGTTTTTAAACTACAATTCTCTATGATTTTCTCTCGTACATTCATATCTCATATATATTTCAGGCCGGTAAATGTTGTTAATACTGTTTATTATAAACAGAGCATTTACTTAAGTATTTGTATCTATAAAAAAACGTATAAACATATAAAATCTCTTAAAATACATTTTTATATATCAAGAACAATGACAAAGTGGAAATGGTTTTCGTATGACGCGTTTCAATGGATTAATTGCTTACCGTAATGAATCTGACTAAATCTTGATTTTAAAAAATGGTTCTCTAATTAAAAGTGAAAGCAATTTACTAAAACGAAAATGTAGTGAAGTTGCTGTAATCGCTAGATTATTCACAATAAGTTTACGTTCAGGTTCTTACAACATTTCCTTTTACATTTTTTCTTTTTTTTTTGACAGATCATCTATTATCAAAATGTAGGATATTTAATAACAAAAGTGACAAAACATATGCAAAAAGAAACAAAATGAAATCGGTTACGCTATACGCACAAAATATATATTTAAAAAAATCTTAGCGTTCTTTCTTTTTGAGCATGTGTAGTCGCATCAACGAATGTAACACGAATGTAAATGTCCGTTGAAATCCTAGGACGAAACGCGTCATATAAATTTTTTCCACTTTTTCATAGATTTCCTTAAACTTAAAGATTCTCGACAGAACGTTGATTTGAACTGTTCAAATTATTCACACTTGTTTGCCTATTTCAGCCGGTACTTGTATTTGCTACAAAAGAATAGTAACGCTCATACTAGTGTCCTATCTTTTCAGTGACGAATTCCGTGATAAAGTTGCTAAAGGATCCATTGATGCACACGTTCATCTTTTGTTCAGTTAGATCAATTTGATTCTCGGCGAGATAACATTTGAGAAATTAGATGGACATTTCGAATAATTCTTGTGTACGTTGGTCGTGCGGCATTGGTAGTGATTTGATGTTGTCTATGTGTTCAAATCAACATTTCTACACTCATAGATCAGGTTCTGGACAGCAAGACTTTAAAAATGTTCGTCCAGATTGACATATTTTCATAGCAGCAGTGGTAGACCCTACAGTATCCGTATTAGAATAAATGTATCCCGAATATTAACATGGACAATTAGGAAGAGTTTTCTTCTAGTAGAACTGCGTGTACGTATATCGCTAGCTGGACTTGTGTCGAAACACCATCGTTCCCGTCTGTAGTTGTGTCACAGAGAGTCAACTGAGGAATCGAATTGCGCTCCACAGATTCAAGTTCTAACTTCCTGCATATAATGGCTATTTGTGTGTATGACGTAGACTTGATGTTCTAAACATAGGCTCAGCCCTGGCATTATGGTTAAGGGACCTTAAGTTAAAATTCTCGTTCAGCTTTGGTGCTTATGGAGGGAATGCCGAACAGCATCATTTACGCCCAGAACTTTGTTTAATGCATAGGAAATGATGGAACGACAACTGATTCGTTCAGTTATGGCATTTATCCCTCTTCCTGTTCTAAGATAAAAAGTGCAAGACGGGTGGAGTAATGTATCATTGCTGGGTATTTTTCAATACACAGGTCTGTGTTAACACCCAAGAATACTATACAGTGTATTAGTATTGAGTCTGAGGACTGTTGATACGGACATTATTTTGGGTCTTTTTACGCTAATGTTCACTAATTACAAGCCCAAAGAACTACTCAAGTTAGAGGTCTACTGATTTTTTTGTACGGACGAAAATATTTAGGTTAAGAGGATATGTAGAATAAAATAATTTTCTAATGCCGCCGGATCATCAACGAAACATGTCATGATTATTCTTGATTGTCATCCAACTTTTACTCTTTTTCTCTCACCCTCTCGCTCTCTCTCCCTCTCTCATACACACTCTCACACGCACATATATATGCACTATCATGTGCCATGCGTGATCATGTATCTTCCAATACATGACTAATGAGGCAGATTTTTTTCCCACAGTAGGTTGCCATTCTTTTATGCAGTAGACCAGTTGCCATCCAATATAGAACCCGGTCAGTCCTGCTATTTATCCATACCTGGGGGTGGGGAGAAGAAGAGGATTCATATCTTTCCCAAGGGTATTAACACGTAAGTGAATGTAATGGATTTGACTGTAATTCGAACTCGGCTCTCGGAACAAATATACATTTATCGGTAAAGAGTAATAAATATCAGAGATAGGTCGTTTTTAGGTAGCGTCAACACTGTATGATTACTGACAATTGCAGGTTTCGTTCTGATCATCAAAGTGACGATACACATTAGTAAACGCTATATAAAGTCTGCAACTGGGTATAAGATTGAAGGTGTGATCAGAAGAGAAGTAAAACTGACCGTCTCCCTTTACTTAATTTTTTATAACTAACTCTTACTTTAGTTTATTTGATTAGTTTTTTTACGGTTTATCAACGTTTTCTAGGTTATTTAAAGACAGAAAGCATTTTTAGATTGTAAGATATTTTAGAGACAATAATGATTTACTGATAAAAGTTATACTATTTAACCCATAACTGGGGAGAAGAGATGGATTCATACCTTTCCCGATGGTATTTGCTGGTAAGTGAATATAACAAGTCCGACAGGAATTGGAACTCGGCTATCCGATTAACAATTCCGAGTCATTATCTCTAACATCACCCGCACAGCCAAGCTTAGAAAACCTGATATTCTCAAACGGCCACTCATCTAAGTACAGAGCAGGTTCGACGTTTCTTAACTACGGTGATTGTGAGAGAATTACTTTGTGTTTTTGAGTTACCATGAATGGATGGCAAAATCACAAACTAAATTATTCTAAAAATAATATGTAGAATAAGGAAAACAGCAGAATCTTAGAAAATCACCACAAATATGTAACCTTTACCTCGATGAAAAAATAGCGACAATCATCTTCACAGAACATGATAAACTCTTAAACAAAAGAACAGACATCTTTTCCAAATGCTGACATGAAAAAAATCCCTATAGTGTTATCATATGACCATACTTGCGCTGATATTTTACAGACCCACTCCCTTTAACCAGCCAGCCAGCACAAATAAGCAATCTGAATAAATGAACGAAAGTAACCGTCAAAGGAAATGTGCGATTTTCTTTCACTTTCACGCAATCTCCTAACCCTTAGGCGATTGAATAACAGCGAGGGAAAAACCAGATATTTCCTTAGCGCCTAAAGAGAAATATCACTTAATCGAATGATCACATGGAAGTGTGAAACTGAAAAGATACGTTGATATATTTCCATTCTTCAAAACCAACGAAGAAGAGGTCAATGTACGCACTTATTTGATAGGTTGTAACATTCATTATGGCTGGCACCTCGTTATTAAATATTATCATCAGAATATATCGTTATAAGATCTATTAAGTTGGTGCAAAAATAATGACGTAATAATGTCGTTTTTTGACCTTAAAAAATACGTCAAAAAACGACATTGTTACGTCATTATTTTTGCACCAACCTAATAGTTAGGCTTTGATCAGATGTGGCCTTTTAAACACGACAAACTTTTAAAATATATGGCATAAAGTTGGCAGACACAAGGAACATACATTTTGCTGCCATCAAGGCCTATTTTTGAACTGCCTGTCTATTTTTCCAGTCCATCAGCTGACTTGCAAACTTTACTGACATAAACTATCAGTTCTTAACGCCATTTTGTAATTGGTTCGTGCTTTGCTACGATCACTTAATTTTCCTGCT